CGAGCGTTCTAGAAACAGACCAATTGGGCGTTGAGGGGATAAAACAAACTGCAAGTGAACAAGTCAATTTCTGCAGCTATTTTTTGGTTATCATATGATAACGCTAGATTATAATCTCGTATAGAAAACATTGTTGTACGTAGTTTTATATAACTGAATTACTAAAGATTATTTTATTATTTGTTATCATTTATAAATTATACTTAGCTATGAAGAATGAAAAATCCATTATAGTATTATATAGTCAATACAGAAATAATGAGACGTTTTTTTTTCGTTTTCTGCAAAGTAGTGATTTTTAACTATTATTCCCTTTTATTCGCGCACCGAATTATTTACGGGCAATACAACGTTTTCTGGTTTAGCCAGTACTAAATATATACAGACACATATGCATCTGTAAGGCAAAACCATTCATCAATCATGACCAAACACGTAAAAATTATTTTCACCGAGATGTCCTAAACAAATATTCCTCAGGGAGGTCTGCACTTATCTACGTTATCCATCCCGCTAAATCACCAGCGCCACAACGAGGATGCAAGGTATGCATCTCATTCCCGGCAAGTACTTTATTTGTGTATAAGGGACCAACGTCAAACCTAAAAAAATTGAGGTATAATAAAAATTGATTTACTTATAATTTCCAACACTGTACACACACACACACACAACGCACAAACTATTAAGTAATACATTAGTTAGTTATCGTTATTCAATACTTAAATGAGCGCGACGGATGACCATGGATGAGTCAGAAATTGTTTTAAGTCTTGTTATGATTTTATATTATTTTACAATAATTATGCGACGTAAAACCAGACAAGTAATTTCCTTAAAAGAGTTTATTCGACAGACAAAAAATAAAACAATTCAAGAATTGACATTTTTGTTACCTATTAAAAATGACCATTCTTAATTTTATAATGAAATTCCAGCTGCACATTATGTATTGTATATATTTAAGTCTTTCAGTAGTCACTGCTGCCACCCGACAGGTCATTTTTCAAACTAAAATTGTTGAAAAGCAATCTTCCAAAAGTTAGTTGCGACACCTCCAACCACTGAACCACCACACATGTGTGAGTATTGCGTATGTACTTACACGCTTGCAATAATAATAATAATATGGCATGCGTGCATTACGTTTCGAGCGCATCAACCGCGGATATTCCGTTTATTCTTATACATATACGAATATTTATTGCACGTCGTTTGTACATTTCATATATATATGTAGGTACCTAATACATATTATATGACGGTATAAAGTAATCGAAACATTATTTAAAAATCAACAGACGATAGCTACCGGTTTCCCCGGAGGGCGTGTTTGTAATATACGCCGCTGCATATTATTCTAAGGTCATGCGCACGCCGAGATCAATATTATGCGAGCTCCAAGTCGCCGGTTACGTCGCGCCGCTGCAGTGAGATTTTCCTTTTTCTTCTTCTATATACGTTTTGATCGCGGCTGTTTTGTTACATCCGAAACACTGATGATTTGTACATCAATCCACCTGAACACCGCTGGTTCGGTTGTCACGTGTATATAATAATATATACCTGCACGACGACGCCGCCGGTATAATCAATTTCGCGTTTTGTAAAACCCCGGCCTCGTGTCTGCCCGTTTGCGGCGAACGTCTCTATGATATTTTTACATGTTATAAACATACGCGTATATATATATAATGTGATTGTATAGAAGCACAGAGAGGAGACGTATATACCTAGTGTGCGATTGTTTTCGTGCGCTTCGTCCTTGTTCAGTGTACAGCGATTTCGCATTGTTCGGTATATACCGGGACGGGCACGCGGAAGTTCGTCAAAACTGAAAAACAAATTTATTGTAACAAAAAAGTGGCGATTGCAACGACCGGCAGGGGGGCTGCGAACTACAATGATATTATTATAGTCGAGAATATAATATTGGTTCAACAGCCAGATTATAGCTGCTGGTACATGCGCGATGGCTCTCCTGAAGCGGTGGCAGAGGATTGTCGTCGTCGTCGTCGTTAAAGGATTCGATCGGTCGCGAGGCATATGGAAAAATAAAAAAGAGCATTATGGTGACCAATGACCATTGAGACTACCGACGAGGCCGAAAACAGATTTTTTTTCAAACTCAATTATACATGTTTCAAAGATTCTGTTTAGGAAGACTATCCGGTCGACAAAGGAGAACAAAGGCCGTATATTATGTCGTTATATGTTTTTAAATACCCTATGTTCATCCCGGGTATGTGCAGCGTTGATTTTCACTCTGTCGGAGAAAGCCACTACCGGTATTATTGACCCTCGCAACAGTGACCGAGTCGTGTATTTATAGGTAGTATACAATATAAGGTTGCTAGTATAGTTGCACAATATTTGTCTGGTTTAGGGCGTCTTCGCCAATAATAAAAATAATATTGTAAAATAAAACCACTATTCGAGACAACCGCATAGTTAGAGCGTATGTGCCAGCAGCGATGGCGACGGCGGCGGTTAATCAACACCTCGAGCAGTAATTATATTATATCCACCGAACACTAGCGAGATTTAGCAATAATAATAATAATAATAATAAATATACCGTTGTCATTATCAGCGTAACATTATAACAATGCGAATTCTTTCAATGGGAGGTGTATACGAGCAGGCATTAGTATTTATTTAGTGTTCAATCTATACGCGCAACACATTTTATCTGGAAGGTGTTATCGGCGGTCTGGGCTATGTGTGTGTGTGCGCGCCCGTGGAGGTAACCCTCTATACCACACCGCACGTATAATATTTATTACAATGCTTGTCGAAGTTTCTTATTTTTTTTTCCTCTCGTCAGTCGTCATTGTTACGCGCATTATATTACCGTTCAATTATGTTAGTGTGGTGTATATACACAGACGGCGACGGCCCGGCCGGCCTCGGGGCATTTGATTACCATTATTATATATTAAACTTCAAAAGGCGTCTGAAACGTGATTAACGGAATCGACATCGCATAGAATATAGTGTAGATTCATATTATATACATGCGGCGTGTGATGCGATGATGACGAAAACGCTCAATGTCGGGCGGGCTGTGGTGGCCGAGTGGATGGATGTGCTTGTGTGTGTGAGAGGGAGAGGGGAGGGGGTGATAGGTGGACCGTCCGTTTTTTTATATTGTGTTGCTGGTCACCGCCGCTGAAGCCCGCCCCGTGAGTCGGAAGAGATGATGCTTTGATATGTGTTCACAAAATATACGACTCCAAAATGCGGTATATAGGCAATATAATATTATGATAGGCATGAAAAATATATTACCTATTCAGTATATTTAATAATAACTAATATACCTACCTAGTATAATGTGCATAACATTATATTATATAACAAAATATTATATTATAGCGGTGTAACTGCAGCCCAAGGACCAGAAATAAACTCCCAAGGCACGCCTACGCTTGTTTTGTATTGTGTTTTTCGTTCGGTAAACGTCTAAACCGGTAACTCCTCGTAAAACGACGAAAGCGGAGTTACGCTAAGGGAGAGAAAAAAATGTCATTCGTATCCGAGAAGAATCACTATATAAGGCACCGAGAATGCCAGCTGTATAGTCCGCAATCTATATTTATATTGCATCCGATTACTATTTATTGTAAAATGTATATTATGTACATAGAATAATTATTTGTATACACCCACAATATGCAATGACACTGTTCCGAGGTCGGCCAATCAGAGCTTGTCATTAATCCTTTGTTCCACCCCGAAGTACACACTGCACCATCTGGTTTTATAAGGTACCTACATAATCTGCAGTGATTACGAATAATGTATAATAATAATTTTTCTTATTCATCTACATAATAATAGAAAATCTCTAAAAAGAGTGGCCGTGACCTAACCATGTATGATAAAAGTGATGATAGCCGATGGGTGATGAATATGGTAATTGATATGCAATGGTTGTATTATTTTTATAAATATTTTTAATTAAGTTTTTATGAAATTTAAAAAAAAACGGTTGGCCTAATGAGGATAGGAAAATTAATTATTCAAAATAATATTTATTGATACCTTTTATTAAGAATCCGCAAGCACTGATGCAGACTGTGGGTGCCTGGGGCCTCGCAAAACTTAAAGCGCAAGAGCAAAATAATATATACATATAGGGTAGGTATGAAAGCAAAATTAAAATAGTTATTCGACAATAATCAATTAAAATAAATAGTAGGACGTGTATGCAGAGTCGAGGAATGTACAGCTTACTAATGATCAAAAATACCGGTAATTTAAAAACCTCATTGTATATACGTATTGACAAATATGTTATTCCATCCGTGAAAAGTAGATACGGATTAATCAGCTGATGGTAAAAAATACAGGTAGATTCTTCTTTAACTACATTTGATACGGTGCATGTAAATTCAACTAGCCGCAAAGTTTGATAAAAATGTATACCGGATTACTGCGTAACCATACCTCTAAACATACATTATCTATTTATATATATATATATGCAGGGTGATTAACAAGGGTGCTCACCCCTATATATAATGAATTTATATAAATTAAAAATGTGGTCCTTATTTTTCATTTTTCATTTTTTTGAGATTACCCCCCCCTAAAAAGGTTAAGTTACCTGAAAAAACCATACTAATAAAGTTTCATGCAAATCCTTTAATTTTAACCCGTGCCGCAAAAGCTCCAAAGTTACAAAAATAGAACATTTTCAATATTTTAATTTTTTTTTGATATTCTTAAAAATAACTCTGGAAATAAAAATGTTACAAAAAATTTGTTGAGATACAATGATAGAAAACTAAATTTACTAAAATTTGTTTCATATAGATTAGTTTCCAAATATTTTATTTTTTCAAATATTTTAATCAAAAAATTAAAAAAAAAAAAATCTTGAAAATTGAGATATTTCCATCAGCATAACATACAAATAATAGTGAAATCAATTTACAATAAATAATAACACTTATATTTTTAACATATTTTAAATATAAATGATATAACTAAATTTATGACTGTGTAACTTGGGTAAGTGTTTCTTTTCTATGGTCAGGATATTTTTTGTTATAATCTCTAACAACTTGTAGTAGATATTGTTTTTGAGATTCATCTTTGGTTATTTTGTTGTTATAATCTTCTATAATTTTTACTCCTCTTTCTGCAACATCATTTATAACTGCAATATTTTTTAAAATTGACAGAGCTGTATTATAATCTGCATTATTTGCCCACATTAAAGGGTTTTCATTCAAAAAAGTGGTATTGATAGCAAATCGTTTAAAAAGATTTTTAGTCTTGACACATATAAAATCATCAATTTCCTTTTCTAATAACTCGTTTGCATTTTTTGCAAATATAATTAAACGTTGTGCATTTGAATTTAATTCTGATAAACATTCGTCGTTGTTTAGAGCATGAATCATTTTTCTTTTAGTCTCCAGTGGCACAGCCTCATCGAAAAAATCAAATGCGCATAATTCCGCCGATAAATACCATAAGTGACCACAAAACTTTTTAACTGCTATCTGAGATAGATCTTTATCTATAGAGGCATATTGTAAAAGATTTTTCATAAAAGTCAAGTCTTGTAAAGGAGCTTTGATTGAAGATGGTGAATTAAACCATACTTTTATATATAACCGTACAATAAAAATGCAAATACTTCTTAAGGCACTTTCTTCTTTGGGCGTTAATCGTAACTGTTCACGAAATAAATATATTTTCAAGCTATAAATAGCTTTTGCCATCCACCGAGCATGATGGATGGCACCTGGTATTTTAAAGCTAATATCATTTGAAAGTTTCCCACCCAAAAAATTACTGTTAATTCTAGTAACTCTCGATAATCATCTCTTGGCTGTTTTTCTAATAGTCGATCTTTAGAAACCGATGTTGCACCAAATTTCAAATCGAACACACTTTTCAATATAATTTCATATATATGATGGCTGCATGGTAAATATACTATTTCGCGTTCTAATAGTTGCTCAAGCAAAACACAAGCTCCATTTAAGCGACCTGTATTTGATGCTGTAGTATCGGAACAAAGTGCTTGCACATTTTCATCTAAACACCAATCTACAAGCGTTTGGTATATTGCATTGACTTTTTCAAGTCCAGTTCCACTATTTAACGCCGGGACCCCTAGCAGTTGTTCACGACCATATACAGACGCGATTATAGGCAGCCTATCGACTAAGCCTTTCCCGGTTAAATTTGGAAGAAGTTTTTCGTCCCAGTGTATAACAACTGCGTCTTCCTTACCTAAGTTATAGTTATGACGTATTTGTTCAGCACGTTGCTTGGTATTTTATGCGAGAGCGTCGTATCAATGATCGGTTTACAATAAGTTCATTAACATTATTACCTAAATATTACCATGGAAATAATCGCAAAATACGTGTATAGGTTTAAGTACACTACCCACCTAACGATTCTATAATTATCTCTTGTATCATAGATTAAAACTTGTAGGATCACATGCAAACCATATTATACAATATATATTAATTTTAAGTTAATTTAAATCGCATTATACGATATAAAAAACATTTTATTTATTGCCACGCAAAAAATAGTTAAACATTTTTATTTTTAAAATTTAAACTCAAATATCTTTGAAAATAATATATTTAAAAAAAATGTATAAGTATAAAACTGTTGTAACAATAATAACGTACAATTAATGTCTTTAAAATAATTTTTGTAAAATCATTCTTTTAAGAGTTATGATTAATTATATTCAAAAACTAATGATTTCTAACATTTTTTCGTTATTAAAACTTTAGAGCTTTTGCGGCACGGGTTAAAGTTAACCATTTCGTCTAAAAAAATTTTCTCATGCTTTTTTTAAGTAACTGAACCTATTTGAGGGTGGTAACTTGAACATTTTGCAATTTTTTTTTACTTCATCTATAACGGAGGACCACCCTAAATGTACCTACTCAAAGACCATATTTTCAAATAAAAATCAGATTTTGAATAACTTCATTATTAAAGAAAAAAAGGGGTGAACGTGCTTGGTGAATCAAATATACAATAATATACAATAATATATATTTGTATACAAATTATAGTATACAAAATATTTTTTTTTCAAATAATAATCATTCATTAAACATTATATAAAATACATGCAAAATAATAAAAACAATTTTTCTACCTTCCATAAGCAAATCGTGTGTTATAATTATATATAATATTATTTCTAAAAAGTAGAATATAATACAATATATATTTACAGGCACATTATTTGGGAATTCAAAGGAGAATTTAATTAATAAACAAAAATTATCATAATAATAATATTTAGGTTCTATAAAGTATAAATGTCATAATATGTACATTATTTATTTACTACTAGACTCCGTTATATTTTATTCAAAACCATTGTGGAATGTTAAGAGAATTACCCCCTTATTGCTTATACCTCTTCATTACAAGCCTATTTCATGTAATGAAAAAAAAACCATAAAATAAAACGAGTTTAGTTCGTCCGACAAAAATAAAAAAATTATAGCACAATAAACAACGGGAAAACACACACATACAATTTTTAAAACCATTAAAAAAACATATTTATAACCATTCAAACAACTCTTCTGCAGAATAACTGTTCTAATTTACAGTGGCAAAGCGGACAATATGCAATACAAATATTCACAACAGGTCAGATGAGGTCTTTTTTAGTTTCTCCGAAACAGTCGTATACAGGTCCAAGTCTTTTTTTCGGTGAAGATTTTATTCAATGCTTTATAATAGTATTTATATAACTAACGACTTTCGTCCCATTCGGAAGTTTTGTTTTAACTGCTAATAAACTACAGTAGGTTCATTCAAGATAAACAAAGAAGAAATTGTAATTTCTAAAGCAAATTAATTATTATTATTATTACTTTCTTGATTTTTAATTGTCGAGCTATCTCGAGCGAACCGAGTCAGACCACTGCGCATTCATATATTCTCGAATTATTACAGAATGTTGTTTGTCTTATTTTAGTTATAATAGTCACATTGTTCAAATTACTGAATTAGTGTACAGAGCATCCAAATGATAAAGTTCAAAGTTGCAACGACGGTTTCGTTTAAAACTAATCTATCTAATGAGTAATGGCACAACGGTATTAAATATACAAGTGTAGAACAATGTTTCAGCCTCTCGCAGCACTCGATTTGCTTATATGCAAATTGTAAAGATTACGTTAACAAATTGAGTGGTTTATGGTTTATCATTAACATTAAACAATCTGTACTATTATGGAATAAACGTATTAATTGTATAATATAATTCACCTACAACTTCACTTTTAGGTGCAGCATATTATACTGTAAGTATTTATTTTTTTATTATTGTTTAAATTAATATCGAAAAGATTACTGGGCCTCACTGAGAAAGACTCGTGTGGAGACCAAAAGTAGGCCTAAAGTATTATAACTATAGCGTTCAAATGGCAATATGCAGGCTAGTGAAATTAAAGATACCTACTACAAAAACCAATAATTTGTACATAGGTACGTATTTAACAATCATTTTGAAGTAATGCAAATAACTAAATACGCATATTTCTAGCTTTGGAAATATACACGCGTACATTGATTGTTGTCAGTCGATACGGATAAATCGTATGATTTTTGAATTTGTAAGCGCAAAAAAGAAACTTCCGCTAAACATTAAGTAACATCAAACCAAACCGAAATACGACCCGTGTGTAGTGTTAAAGAATTTATCATATAGAACCTAAATCATCTAAAAAAATGCATACAGCTGCAGCGTTGGAAAACGGATACGTTTGGCATTATAATAATACGTCACGAATTGCACATATATATAAAATAATATATAATGCGTATTGCTTTGCACTGCAGTGTACCAGTCGTAATATTAATTAAAATCAGGACAAATTTTTAGCTCACACTTTTACCCCGTCCATACAAGCAGATTACTATCGCTCAATCGAATACATATTATTATACGCAACTTTATTATGATATTATATTATAAATATAATAATATGCACATTGCACATAAAATAACAGCGCGTGTTCACGATTTCGTATACACTAACAGTATAGTACGTGTTATTTGCGTTCTCTTTATTAGAACATTAACTACTCAAATTCGTCAACAAATAATTTTTTTAGGTCATTAGATACAATTAATAGTAATAGTAGCAATTATTATTATTATTATATGCATAATTATAAATATAGTTTGAGGTTCATGGCAATGGAAATATAGAATCAACAACACTGGTCGGATATGTGTTTGTGTCTGATTTCACATTCCTGGTGTTTATACCATGAGTATTATACAATTGTATACCATCTAATATTATTATCATTTATCATCGTATCGCATCATACGTTTGGCACTGACAAAAAACCAACCAAAAACTCGATCATCGTAAATAGAAGCGGGAAAAACAAGAACGCGGCGCGACGACGTAATATTATAATTTTTTTACTTTATACTGTTGTAGTCATTTTTGGCTAGACGGGTCAGGTACTCGTGATTATCTTGAAAGAGGAGTCGTTTATTAATTTTCGTAAACACGACAAAGGGTCTAGAGAACTTTTCAATTGGACGGCGCAATAATAATATTATTAAAATAGTATTATACTTAGGTCGGAACATCGATAAGCAACAATAATTATGAACGATTTATTATTATGCGGACGAAACATACATTTCGACATGTGAACTGTGCGCGTAACGGGTTATGGTTATAATTTCAGTTCAGTTATATTCCTCGGTTTCGCATTATAACAGTTTATAAGCATATTATATTCTAATATATGTATATACGTGCACGTTATCATCGTTATGATTTTCGTTGTTTTGTATTTTTTTTTTATTATTATTATTGTTATTTCATTATTATAATGTTTGGTTTGGTTTTGTTTTGTTTTTATTTTTTTTTCCGCCAGGACTACGTCGACCTTCCCGCCCGACCAGCACGCGCATGCTGCCAACTCGACCGCATCCTCAACAGAGTGTATAGTATTATAATATATAGTATGCTTGTTTTGTATTTAAAAAATGGGAACATAATAATACAGCACTGCTGCGTGATTTACATACCGAATGTGACGCACATATGTTGTTGAAAAAGAACCCACACAGCCTTTGATCTTGAAACGTGTGGGTCAAGTCTTAAGTGTAGACTACAGTCATCGTGATAGTGATAGTTTATAATTTCTAAATAATGCTTAGATTCAAGCAACATTTTCTGAAGCGAGCAAAACATACAATCGCATGAAAATCGATATAATATATTTAAAATTTAATATTCGAAAAATTGTTCATGCACTGATATGATATATATTGACATTGTAAAAAGTCTCTATATTATGCTGCATGCCTGCATTATATCATTATTATTTATTAGTTGTTAGTTGTTAATTGTTATTGAAGCCATAACATCTACGCGTTAATATCGAATGGAATATTTACAACAATTTACAAAAATACAATATTTACCCAATTATCATAATTTGGCACCTGCAGACTGCAGTAATACTATTGCAGTACGGCGTCCATTATATGGTTATTGTTCGTTCTAAAATTAATAGTAGTAACCTACTGAGTCAACGATGACATAATTAAAAACAAATAAAAAATGTCATTACCTACTAGTATATAGTATACAGGACATAATTATTGCTCGCTTAAATAGAAAACTGGTTGATTTATAATATAGGAACATTAGGAACCATAAAAAAAAATCGTTGTTATAACTTATAACAC